GTGGAATTTATGACTAGCACAGCAGCCATTTTCTAGTCCTTTCTCCCTTGATCTCGAGTGATTACTTATGTCACTGATTTGCCTTTATGATAAAATACTTGTCTAAACTTTAGACAGTTTGACTTTATACTTCCCATCCTGCTAAAACTTCATAAATGTTTTAAAATGAAGAGATAAAAAAATAGTTCCTTAAAATACCTACCAGGCCAACAATAACAACAAAATAGATGCTGAGAAACTCACCTTGGTTCATGTCTAAGTCTCTGATTTTAGTGTTATAGACATGACAGGAGTTCAAAGAAGTCATTCTCATATTTCAAAAGTCAAATCACTATGGACAGAGTCTAAGACTTTAAACCAATTCTACCTCATATCAAACTGTTCTTACTAGCGATAAGAACTTGCATGAATGAAATTCTTCCAAAATTCAAAGCAGTATGCCGGCTCTGTAAGGAAAGTTGTATTTTCACCTTGGGAAATCTTAGGGCCCAACAAAGACGTTCCCGTTGTGATAGTTTAAGATTCCATCAATAACAGAGTGCTATGGTTAGAATGCTTGTCTCGCCTCTGAGGCTGGTGCTGACATCTTGATTCCTGGCAACAATATGAAGACGTGGGGCTTCAGATGCTGATTACCTCATGAGGACTTCACGCCCATGAACAGGATTAGTGCCCTGTAAACAGGTTTTCAGGGCTAGCTATAACTTTTTGTTCTTCCTTCCTGCCAGCCATTTGGACAGCATTCACCACCACCCTGCCAGGGGATGCAATAGCCATATACCATCTTGGAGCCAGCTATGGACCTCTCACCAGATCCCAAACCTGACAGTACCTTAATCTTAGACTTATGTGGGCCCCAGAAAATTTTTTAAAAAATTGACATTTATAAATTACCCAGCCTCAGCTATTTTATCACAACAGTGCAAACTAAGACACAAAACTTGTTTCTGAAGGACACCATGGAGAAGCAACAGATGGAAGAGACTGTTAGCTTAGAAGGAAAAGGCAGGACAGAATCACTGGCTATCATGAAGACAGTCAAGGGGGGAAACAGGAAGCACTCATCATTGTATCATTGCAATGAGCTGTTTGAGGAATCAAGTGCTGTGGACAAAAAGTAAGAAAAAAGAGGAAGTTGGCTATTCCAGTTTGATACACTCATATTGTAAAAGTGTTGGGAGAGGAAGGGTTAAGCAAGCCCCTCTTCTAGGTCCAGGTGTGGTGCCAGAATATACATTTAAAAACCCCTTGTGTATAGGAATTTTCAGGGCCATCTTGATTTCAGCTCCATGCTAGATTCCAAGGTATGATCCCTGGGCAAATTTGGTCAGTGTAATTACAGTCCATTCACTATATGGGAGAGCGTCTCTCTCCAATAAACTAAATAATTTTCTTTTCAGTCTGAGATAAATGTTTTTCTACTCCATGGTGACAACCAAGCATCACTGGGCATTTCTCTTTTTCCTCCTGTTTTGCCCCGACCTGGCAATTACCCTGAAATTAAATGTCCTTAGAGACATGAACCCACATATTTACTTGCTCTTGACAAATGCACACTCCATTCTCCCAGATATTGGAGACCATCTACAGTCAGCTTTGCAGCAGACTCTGAGGGGTGTAAAAGGTTTGCCCCATGCCTGTGGTAAATGCCATGATTACATCCTAACAAAGTGAATATTAATAACTTAACCAGGCAAATTGACTGAAATAAACTCAAATAGAAATCAGTAATTCATTAAAACTTAAAGAATTAACACCAAGGCGGAAAACCCATCAACAGCAAGGTTCTCTGGGTGTGAGAAGGTTCATAGGGAAAACTATCTTCTCAGAGCAGAGCCAATAGGAAAACATCTACAGGACCAGAGGCCATGTTTCTGTTACCCAATAATTCAAATTCCAAAGACATGACTTTTCTAGCACTAGGATAATGGATACATGATTAATAAGCTCAATAAACCCAGTAGGAGAAATGCTGAAATATTTCCAATGAAATAATTGATGTTTGGAAGGATCCACTATTGTTGCTTAGGATTCTGTGCTTGGGCTGCCATGCGAGCAGCCAGTGCACAGCTATAATTACAGAAGATCAATTCTGTTTTAAAGATCTGTCTTGGAGCGATTTATACAACATTTGCTCGGTCACATCTAGAAATCAGCTCCCACCATTAAAGCAAACAAACATACCAGCAGACCTTACAAAAACGAAGTGGCCTGATGTCAGAAGTTAATAGCAAAATAAAGCCAACAAAAGAAAGCCTGATTCTGTGAGGCGAGGTCTCATCTGGAAAACTAATGGCAGAAGATTCAATAGCCTCCGGTCTTGTGCATTGGGAGTTGGCTCTTTTTCTATATTATCTCACTTAAAAAACTCTTCATGGAATCACCGACGTGAGCATTCTTACCATGAGCACAGACACCAAAATCTCACCACTGTCCAGCAGCCTGCACATATCTGTGCTCATCCCTGCATAAGCCTACCTGGAAACATGGCTGGAGCTTCACAGGGGGCAGCTCAGGGTAACAGGACTAGGGTAACCAGTTAAAAATCTCGGCATTGCCGTTTGCTAGCTATATGACTCAACAAACGCAAGCCAGCCTCAGCCCATTTCTTCACCTGAAGGGTGTAGAAACTCTATCACGGCCACAAGTAATGTTGCCAGAACACACAGCTGGTTAAGCGTAATGGAGGAAATACATAAGCGTGTGTGAGTGTGTGAGTGTGTGAGTGTGTGAGTGTGTGTGTGTGTGTGTCACCTAGTTGTGAATGCTGGTCTCATAGTAAACTCTGAATCATTAAGTGTGAATTATAACAGGAAGTGGTTGTATGCCCATCTCTCCTTTTCAGTCTAGCCCTGGAGGGCCAGGTAACACATAGTCTTGATTCTCAGATCTCTGAGCAGCTTTCTTGAATACTTCCCCTTTAACAAGCCCAAAGAAACACTTGCTACTCCGACGGAGTTTATATTAAGTTCAGGGTGCTGTGGTAGGCCCTAGGGTTCGGTTTGCTCAACTCTGGGTCACAGTGTTATGTGAAGCTATAGGACAGTCCGTGGGCATTGCAAGACAAATGCACAACAGACAAAACTAAATAAAACACTCGAACTTACAACACACTGATATGCTCCTGGCGGCGCCTGGCTGTGCTGCCTGACTTCACGGCAGCCTTGGTTCTTAACATACAGCATGCGTGCTTGCCCTGCGTGTGTTTTCATGCTAGCCAACACTGTCTGAAGACCTCATCCTCTTCTTGAGACTACTTAACATGATGCAGTGTTCTTACTGTATGGACAAAATGTTCTGTCCTCACAGAAACAGGACCCTGTAAGTACCAGCTACAAAGACCGGCTGTTTCTACTCTTGTTCTTCAGCATGCAGATAGCAAATCGGCACACTTTTGGATTGACTTGTTTCAGAATTACTGATTTTAGAACTGATGTTTGAATTGGTAATGTGGGTTCATAAAACAACCATTACATGAATTATAGCCTAGGATTAGAAGCAATTTTATACGGTTCCTGAAGTGGCTCTAACATAGCACTGCCTTTTTGGAGTATGCAAAGCGACCATCTTAGCACTGATGATGATAAAGTCAAAACATCATAAACACTGAGATGCTCTCCACCCCGCAGTATCAAATCCTTAACCAAGACCCAAGTTTACGTGAAGACAAATAACTACATCTATCTCGTAAGTATGAAAATTTGGATTTGTCTTTATTAAACGGTATAATTATCTATTTTATAGCTGTTTAAAAATGAATGTCTTCCTTGGTTACCATCAGCAAATGATCCGGGTGCCTATTTCATGTATCTATATACCGGGCATTGCATAAAAATATCTCAGGGAAAATTTTCCCAAGTGGAGAAGGCTTAAAAATCTTGTGCTAAAGGTCTAGTGTCTTCTTCTTCTTCTAATGCCACAGACAGAGCCCACCCTCAGATGAACAACGCCCCTCTCTACCACACCCTCAGCTGCTAACTTAATGAACTCACAGTCTTTCACTCTTACATTATCTGTGTTCTGCCAATGCCCACCACAGATTGCACACAGTAGGAGCTACTAAATGCCAATGGACTGAATTTTTAAGAGACCCGAGGAATATGCCTTACAGCTCACTTTCACAGAGCTATATAGCAGCTCTCTCAGACAAGTGAGAGCCAGGGCCCTGGGTTTAAACCTTATCTGTGCCATTAACTAGCTGAGGGACCTTTGGTGATGTATAAGCTCTCAATGCCTCCATCTCCTCATCTGTAAGTGACAGTGACAGTGATGGGGGGAGGGGGGCATTGTACTAAATTATTATTTCATATAACTGCCATTAAATGACACTAGGCATAACAGGCACTGTCTAAGTAGTAGCAATTATTAATTTTTGTTTATGGTTGGGTATTCCCAACACAATGTCTAGAGTAAATTTTTCTAACCACCTACATTGTTTCTCCTCGCACGCCAAAGAACATAAAAGCATGGCATCCTTACTTCAAACTCCAAAATAAATTTGTAGCAGAAAGCAAATTACAATCTCAAAAAAAATGCACTCAAAAAGAAGTACATTTATAGTGACTATTCTTCAAATAAAAATCCTAAGTGGCCCCAGATATTGTAGTTTTAAGACTGTTCCAAATTGCTTACATTGGAACCCTCCCAGCAGCATTTGGCATGACTTTACACAATGAGAAAGCCATATTGACTTGCAGAAGTGTTCTCATAAACACACACACACACACACACACACACACACACACACACACACACAGCAATAAAATTAGGTCTCATTCATGTGTTGTCCTCAGCCTCCATCATGAACTTTGTTGTCCTATTAAGAAAAATAAAAACAAGTTCTGCCCAGGCTTTGTCTTCCGTCACTTAGAGCTAAACCTGGTGATCAGGCTCCTTGTGCCTTAAAATTCAAATCACTGTATTGAGTCGATGATGCTTCTCTCTACCCTAGAGAGAAAAGCAGAGAAACAGCAAAAAAGGCATCGAGGGAAGTCATGTACCTTCAGCACAGTGATGTTCCAAGCAAAGCTCTCAATTGCCTTGTTGAGTTTTCTTCCTTTCAAGCCCTCCTTTGCCCCCAGATCATGAAGCTCTTCTCGGAACTCCATCCCTTTGAAAAGAACACACATAAGGAACATTAGAGCACATTTCAGGAAAACGTGTGTTTCTACCATGAAATGTTGTCAGCAAAATATAATTTCATGTTTCTGCTCACTCTTATAATTTCTAAAACCCCAAATTGAATTTTTTCTGCTTTATACATCCCATGTTGAAGGTGTCTAGGAGTAACTGATACAGGCTAAATTACATTTTAAGCACCCTGGATGCATAGATAAACACAAGAGAAAAAATAAAAGGCAAACCCTCCCAATGGGTGTCACTGACCTTACTTGTCTCTTTCCTGGTTTTTATGTGGAAAGCTGTGGAGTGTGAAGGTAAACTCACATGTGTGTGTACATCTCTCACTTTCGTTAATGAACCAGCCCTGGGGTTTAAAAGCAAGCTGTGGAGCCCATGCAGGTTAAACAGTCATTAGCAGATCTGTTCCCAAATAAAGACTTTAAAAAAACAACAGTCTTAGGAATATCCACATGGTTCATCTTTGGGAATAGCCTTTCAGGTACTTTTTGCTTTACCATTCACTCGGGCTTGAATGTCATAAAACAACATTGCTATCATCTGTTTCTGCAGCCTTTCCCCTAGAACCTCAGGATGAGAATCACATTCTCTAACAGACAATTTGTTCCATCTTTGGAGGGCTGGGACTGACACTGAGCCACGATCTTCTTTCCCAGAGCTTATAATCCTCAGTGCTGCCTGGCCTCAGAGCAACAAGGTCTAATCTCTCATCCACAGACCAGCCCTTTGTATATATAAAGCTACTGAATTAAACCCCATGGATCCTCTGTGCTCTGTGGCGGCTGTTCTAACCTGTTTCTGATTACTGGTGACTCATCTTTGAGGATGGCATATCCAGGCAGGACCACAGCAGCAGCTGACTTTCTGGATTTGAGTAACATAGACAGCTGTATCTTAGAACGGACGGTGTCCTAGCTGGGCTTGAAGCAGCTCACGCTGGGTAGGGATCTGATGCCATTCTCCTTATGCTAGTCACCTTACTTTTATTACTGTGGCCTAAAAACACATTGGCTTTCCAGATGCTTATTTAACAAAGCCCCTCGGTACCAACAGGAGCACACAGCACAGGCTTTCACACTAATTCACTCACGCACTAGTTGTGTGAGTCTGAACTACCCTTGAAACTCACTGGGCTTCAAGCTCCTCCCTGGTAAAAGGGCGGGATTAAGTATCACTGTGGTAAAGACCAAATGGCTCAATGCATATGTAGCTTGCAAAACAAAGTCTGGGCTCCTGTATGCACCGGGTATTTTGATCTGTGTGAGTGTGTGTGTGCTCTTTCAATAAAAACATCTAAGGTTGCTTGCTGGTAAGTTTAGCAAGGAGCATCAATCTCCAAGCGACTCCGTGTTCACAAGTAAATGCTATTGAGTGCTGATGCAGACTGGATCACTCACCAGCCTCTTACGTATCCCATCTGTATAAGGGATATAATGCATAGCTTTTCTGAGGACCAAGTACGACAGGACCAAGTACGATGTTTGATGCACATCAAACATCATAGGCATATTGATACAGCAGCTGTCAGAACTGCCCTGCCTTCCTCCTCCTCCTCACTTCACGTGTGCACAGCGGAGCACATCCGAGCCAAGAAAGTAAAGCCCAGGGATATGGACAAAAGTGAGCACAAACAAACCTAAGTGGACGCCCACAGAAATGTCATCCTAGCCCAGCCTTAAAGAGAGAACAGATCCAAAATGATAACCAGGAAGAGCAAAACCACAGGAGTAAATAGGACTACAGTTCAAATCATAACTGTGAAGTGGGCTTTAAAGGGCCACATAAGACCACAGTGTCCTCGCTAGCAGTGAGAGACTCTACGAGGCTCCCAACCCCAGGGCTTATTCATAAGTCCTCCCCTCCTGACATCTTCTAACACCACCCTCCCATACACAAATAAACACTCACCACCTAAAGTCTCTTTTACCAGACAACAAAGACAAACCTAACTTGAGCTGCAAACACTGCCTGAAATATCTTAATTTTATGTGGAAGAAGAGAAACTTTTTGAAGCTGCTATGACTTGCCATTGCGGTTTCTAAACAAAGTAGAAAAAAAAATTACCTGCTTTCTGACACTGTACAATCTTTTCATGGACCGAGTCGGCCATTTCTATGAGGACCCGGCTCTCTTGAATCATCTGTCACAAAACATCAAAGAGCAGTTATTAGGAACCTGTAAACTGGCTCACAGGGAATACAATGTAGAAGAGATGCTCTCAGATCACATCCAGGAATGAGGGACCATGATGAGAAAAGGAAAAAGATGGGAAAACCTCTGCCCCAGCTCCCATCCAGACACTGAGACAGGAGTCACCTTTCTTACAATTGCACCGGCTGTAACATACAGTGTCTGTAACATTCCAGACATGCAGTGGGAGCCAAATAATTATTGTTGAATAAATGAATACAAATTATAAATTAGTAATCAGCACCATGAAACTTGAGAAGGTTTAGACTGAATAAAACTGCTGATTTACATTAACACCTTCAGTTTCCAAGGAGTGATAACCAAGGTGCATGCCTGTTACCAACAGCATGTGGGAAGCTGGGTCAAGAGAGTGGCTGCAAGTTCAAAGCCTACCCAAGGTTAATCAGGACTATATAGTGGGGTTCAGTCCAGCCAGGGATAAATATCTAGAAAGAAGGAGAAAGAGCAGGGATGGAAAAGAAGAAAAGGGAAGAAAGGGACAAGAGACAGAAGTAAGAGTTGTAGGCCTAGAACAACTCATCAAATGGCCAGTGGCAGCCTGGGACAGTGAAGCGTTCAAGTAAAAGAGTTTAGCAGGGAAATTCTCCGTGAAGTCAATTTAATTTAGTCTTTTTCAGCATTTACAAATGTATCATCAGTTGACTTTTTATTTTCAAAACTTATCATCTGTTCCAATGAGTCAAATCATAGGCAAAATGTTTTCCTGACATTCAGGCAAGAGAAACGTTCTCAGAGTTTGGACAATCCCCACATTTTACATAACTGGAATATGTTACTGCTACAGTCTGGATCCTAAATGTTTCCTGAGTCCCACGTGTTAAAGGCTGGAGCCCCAGGAAGGTGCTCGTAGCAGGCGGGGGAAGCCTCTGGGAGGTCTTTGTGTCACTGGACTATAACCTCCATGACCTTCAGAGGGACTGGGGGTTGGAATCCCTTCCTCTTCCTCCCTTTCACTTCAAGCCATGAGGTAAATAGTTGACTCTGCCAAGTGCCCTGGATATTACCACACGGCACTCCACTACAAGCTGGTTATCTGTTTCACACGCACTGGGACCTCTAAAATTGTGAGCCCAAACAGACCATCTCAGGTATTTGTTATAGTAACAGAACTACAACCAATTCATGTACCTGCTTTTAAAATATGGATTTTAAGGCTTAAGGAAACTTAGATACCATGATCAACCTCTTTCTTCTGTAGATACAGAAACTATAAGATTAAAACTCCTGACCAGCAAAATGGAATTAATTAATGATGGAGCCAACCTCAGAATCCCTATTTCTGGCATGCAACCTCTTCATTCTTGACCGTCATCTGTTTGATTTTGCATGCCATCATCATACCCACATGAGAATGCATGGGCTCACACACAGAGCATGCCTGCCCCAGCCCACAGGCACAAATAAGGACATATACACAATCCATTACTGCCAGATTCTAACCTGCTCTTTGGAAGACAATCTTTTAAAAAGGTGACTGATAAGTTACTTTGATGGTATCTTAACTGAAATCACTTTCATTTGAGTTGGTTTTACATTCAAACAAGACAGCATGACATCATTCTCTACTAAGAAGCCCTCTTTCTATTGATTTGTGGCTGGTTTTCTTTGCATTGTTTTATTAAAGATCTCCTTTGTGTTTCAGACAAGTGAACTATATTTCCTGCAAAATTCCATAATGCCACTGCCTCTGTATCAAGCAGAGATGTAAGAGTCCTCTTTGCCAGCTCTGGTTCTGTCTAGACTGTCAATGTCATTTTTTCCTACAACTCATGGAGACCCTTTTCTAATTAATGATCCCCTTCTAGTCCACTTGTAGTTTTTCTCTTCCTCTCTAGTCTTATCTCTTAAAAGGAGATAACAAAACCACTAATGAAGTGTTGCAGTGACATTTGGGTAGTTGTCTCCACTCTCCTTCCTGACAAAACCAGCTGACATACATTGCTTCAGCTCTGTGCAGGACTCAACTGTCAAACTTGAGTCCCGGCCATCATCCATTTTCCCCTGGCCGATTCTCTGTCCTGACTCTCTCCAGATCAGCAATTAACACAACTCATTATCCTCAAGTTCTCTGGCTCTGTTTCATATTTCCTTTCCATTTCCACATATGTAGGAAACAGTTCCTTATTCTCCTATTTCTCAGTTCTATTTCTCCTCTCTGTTAATCTCTTCTCTTAGTGTTTTATCCCTTCTTGAAGTCAAACATTCTGTACCCATTACTGCCATTTCATAACTAACACTGCCGCTCTCTTCAATTCCAATGGCCCACAGTCACAGTTTTCAAGGCAGGAGGTCCATGTTCCCTGTGGCATGAAGTGAGGATGCACGTCACGGGTACTTGAGGTGTAAGATGAAACAGGACTTTTTACATTTATTTTATTTGTAAAAATGAAAAGGATTGGTTGTGCTACCTTGCTAAATCAAAACCATGTGTTCCCAATATGGTAGCCAGGGTATCACAGGGAAAGAAATTAATTTCACATCCGAAAGAAGCTGAAAGACAGTGGGTCCTCCAGTATTTATTCCAGAGTGTCTCAATTTGCAAATAGCTGTAGAGCAGCAACGTGGTCCCCATTTATGTTATATTGTTCTAAACTATATAAAATCCAACAGGAAAAACGAAAACAATCTTAGAAGATCGAGCAAATAGCAACTTACAATAGATTCTCCATGATTACTTCCCCAGACACACTAGGAGCTGAAAACCATGACGGTGTGATCAAATCTGCCAGGCACACTCACAGAACACAGGAAAACTCTACACTAGTTTCTACTTTTTGTATTTTATTATGTGTGTACTGCTATAGCAGTGTGCACATATAACTTACGATGAGACTATTCTCAATATTTACAGCGAATGCTTAAGCGCTGTTTGTGCTGAGTGATCTGCTTGCCCTTCTTCAAGCCGCTCAGGTTCAGGCTCAGGCTTGGGCTAGGGAGGTTGATCCCTGTGGGCAGCACTGCGCCTGTTCTCCCACCTTCCGACTTTTCTTGACACTGGCCAAGAGAAGCTCCGACGAGGATGGAGAGTAGAAGGCAGTAGATCAGAGGGATTAAGAGAGCTACTTCTCATGGTTCCTTCCCTGCTGGGCTACCGTGTTAGAGCTTCTCTGCACAGCAACAGCTCCAGATAGGGGCAGATGTAGAAAAGTACTGAATTCCAGAACCAGCTTTCCCTTGCTTCCTCAGGCCTGGGTGTCACCACAGCTTTTCACTGTTGTACCTTGGATGCTCCCCACCTACTGTAGCCAACTCACTTTTGTCCCCTGACCTTACCCACTCGCTGTGTATCCAACCTCCCAGCCCAGCCCAGCTTGAGGAGTGTAGATCTCGCCACTCAACAAAGAAGTTCCTTTTTGTAGCAGAAGATCATTACAGAAAGCTACTGCTGGTCAAACTACAAGAGAAACACTGACTGTTGGGTGGACCAGTCCCAACTGACATATGTACTATACAACTTTTATACTTCGTGCTCAGAAAACAGCACGGATGAGGGGGCAGTGCCAGGGGCCCAGGAAGCCTGCTGGGAGAATACATCTATATGCAAGGAAGCCAAAGTGACAAATTTTCGTCCCATTATGACTCAAAAACCGTGTACATCAGTTTTCTGTGGAATCCCATTTAAATTCATATTCACACATAACTTTAACTTAGAGTCACTTTAAGGACAGTTTATCATAGACAATGCCATTTTGTAGGAAAAAAGAAAACTGGGCTGAAAGTTGACCTGCCTAAAGGCACAGGGTTAGAGAACCAACTGAGAGTGAACAGGGGGATTGTGAACACCAGACCTAAGCTTACGAGTCACCCCGTGATCGGTGTAACTGATTGGTTACCGATTAACTGAGAGGCTGAGTTTCTAATACAAGAACAAGTTGGGAAGCATCATTTAGCAGCACGGATCAGGTGAAGCACCATGAGAATGGAACTTGCCATGGCCATGTCTCCTTGCAGATAGAATTCACGGCGCACGTCAGTCATGAGCAGTCTTCCTACGCAACGCAGTCGACTTAGAGGTGCCCTCACTCATGCCCCTAGTCTTTTAGCAAGCAGCTAGAACTTTGGACAGGTTACTGCTTGAGGATGTTTCTGAAGCTATGCAGGCCCACTGATGTTCTCTCCCTTAAGACCCATCTATTGCCTTCCTTCTAGTAAAAAACAGGTCTTGGGTCTCTAGTTGAACCATGGACTCTCTGTTCAAATTATTGAAAGTCATCAGGCTTGAATTCTATTAAACCCAGCACACGTGTAAGTGGGATTGCTGCTGCAGATGGATTTGCTGACTAGGCGAAGACAGTTCTGATTAGTTGTGAATGCTTTACGTTAAACAGAACAAATACAACCATTGTTTGTAGACTGACATCCTTTTTATCTTAAGCATTCAACCCCAAAAAGATGGCCAACTCTCTATGAAACAAAAACAAATGTAAAACTCAGAATGCCTGCCGGCTGCCCGGAAACCCATGCCACCACCCATGTCGGCAATGCTGTCTCCCCCTGCTGGACCAGGCCTCCACTCATACCCCCAGCCTGATTCATGACAGTGCAGGGCCACAGAACCAGAGAAGAGTGGACCGAAGACCGCTGTCTCCACATCTGTGGCGGTGACAATTCTACCACAGTCAATGCTTTCTTCATAAAGGGGTATTATATCTTCTCAGTTCGTCTATTTCCAATGCAGCTGTCAACTAATCTTGAGAAACTGCTTGAAATACTGGCTTTTAGCCAGCTCTTAGTACAATTTACCTAATTCATAAAATCTGCTAGGTGAAGAAATTTTATGAACTTTTCCAGTTGATGTGAGTAAAAACCTGGCAAAAAAGCAATGTGAGAAAGAAAGGTGCCTTTTGGCTCTTTCTGAGGAGGACAATCTGTCAGGGCGTGCAAGATACAGTGGCAGGATTGTGAGGCTGCTTCCTTCCGGGAGACTGG